CCAGGGGAAGTGTTGATAGGAGGCACAAACATGGAAACGTGGAATGGTTTGGGTTGGAAAGGATCTTTAAAGATCTAACCCAACCTCCCCAGCTCCAAGCTGGAAAAATCCTGGATTGGAGGGAGAGCCCCCTTGGATTGATCCGCAGCAGAGGGGGTGACACAGATCACACCACGCTCCAAGCAGGAACCTCCACCCCGGGCAGTCTTCCAAAGGGTTTTTCATCCAAAGTCAGCTGGAAAAAACTCTGGGAATGAGGACTTGAGCATGGATCAGCAGAGTGAGGAGATCCAGGTCTTCCAGCCATGTTTTCCCTGCTATGGGGAAAAGAGCATTAAAACTCCACAGGAAGGCACTGCAAACTGCTCATGACTCCAGAGCTGAGAAAATTCCTCGATCCACCATGTTTTCCAGGCCCAGGATGCTGGAATATTGTCTCCCTTGCTGGCGCTGATGCCATGGGATAAATCCCGTCGCAAAGCTCGGCTGCAAAGAAAACATCCTGCAAAAAAACCTGGGAAAAGCAGCCGGGGCTGGCGCTGCTGACTCGGCGAGGGATTTGTTCATCCTGAGGTCCTGCAAACACATCCGAGGGCAGGCAGAGCCCGGGATTGGTTCAGATGGAGGTGCTGGAGCAGGCTCTTGTCAGAAATAGAAATTTGGATGTAATTCCAGGGTGGGGATTGAACATCGTCTGAACTTGCTGGCTGAGGTGGGGTTTTCTTCCAGATTCCGTGCGTGTGAAGTGAGGCTGGATGGATGGGCAGCGTTTTTCCCTCTTTGTGGATTTAAATGGATTTAAGAGACGCAGATGAGACTCCATCCTCATGGGTTTGGGTCAGGTTTGTCCCTCTGTGGTACCCAACAGAAATCGCGGTGACCCCTGCTCAACCCAGCCACGATCCAGAGCCTCCAGGCAGATCCTGTCCACTTCTCCATCCACCAAATCCATCCCTTCTTGCCAAAATATCTGCTCTTCAAAAAAATGCAGCCCTGTCAGGCATTGCCATCCCTGGAGGAATTCAACAGCTGTGTGGCTGTGGCACCTGGGGACACGGCTTAGCAGTGGGGGAATGGTTGATTACAATCCTAGAGGTCTTTCTCAACCTAAATAACTCCACGATTCCCTGATTCTCACCCACCTCCAGGCTTTTGTTCCAGCCCTCCTGAAGCACCCCAGGGGCGAGGGAAGGGATCCAGCCCCGGACCCACACGTAGGCAGGGGCCATCCCGCAGCCAGAGGCTGCCCAGAGCGCGGGGCGAGACGGGAAGATGAATTCACAGGGCAGGAATTTCTTGTTTTGAAGAGTCTGGAGTGGGTCTCACCCCACATCACAGGCACAGGTATGCACAGAGCTGTTATTACAAGTTTTAGGGCCGGCCCTTAATGCTGCTTCTCCGAACCCAAAACTCAGATTAATTCCTGCTTGCGGTTGCCCCGTAATTAAAATCGTCTCCAATTCTTCATGAACTCAACAGTTTCCTCCTAATGAACAGAGGCAGATGAAAGAGACCTTCACTGGGAAAAAGGACTCGGTTATAAATATTCCATTACTTCATCCACCACAAAAGCTATTTGGATGCTGGAAGCTCAGCCTGGGCAGCTGGGGGCCAGCCCCCACCAGCCCCAGAAGATGCCCCCGAGTGCTGGGGGTATCCAAAAGCCTCTCCAAGGAAAATTCCTCCAGGAGCTCGCTTGTCTCCACCTCTTCAACATTCTTCCTCTTCCTCATCCTCCTCCTCCTTGGCTGGGCAGGAATGGCTGAGCCACGTGGATCATCCTAAAAAATGGGATGATGTCCCCTCCCGCTAGGGATGGGCCCCACGGGACATCACATTCCACGGGGAAACACGGGCTGAGCCATGGCAGCTCAGGAAACTGCTGCCCTGCCTGTCTTGTCATGCACGGAGCAGAATCCAGCCTGGAAGCGCTGATTTTCCATCCAACCCACAGCAGAGCCACCTCAGGCCTCTTCAGCCCCTGACTTTGGAGCACTAAAATATAAATAAATGGACACAGAGATGGATTTCTCCTGGCAAGGGCTCCAGGGAGGGGAGGGACAACGCCTGCTCTTCCCCTTCCCCCCTGTGCTCCAGAACCAGCCCCTTCCATCAGATTTCCTTCCAGGAAACTTCGCCTGAGTCTCTGGGATTAGAACAATATCAAGACTGGCTCAGAGAGGGCTGTGCTCAGGGCAGCCCAAGCTCTCCCATCCAGCTCCAGAGCCTGTCCCATGGCATTCCCAGGCATTTTAGCAACCATCCCCCAGCACCAACAAGCCCAAAGCTCCCAGAGCTCTGATCCCACTCCCAGGATGACAGGCATCACTCCCAGGACTGCACATGGATGGAAGCATTGCCTTTGCTCCCCTCTCCGTGGGCAGGCTGCAGCCCACACCAGCAGCAGCTGCCATAAATCCCTTGGGATTTGGCTGCGGGATCCCTGGACCACAAAGCAGCCCCAAGGGCCAGAGTCACCATCCCAAATCCCTGCAGCACCCTGAGTCGCCAAACCACGGAGCTCCCTATTTAGAAATTAAAGTCATATTTTCAATTTAATTAACAATATAATATTAAATAATTAAGAATGCCACGTAAATATTAATATTAATAATATGCAATGATAAATGTTTACGTTATTTTCTACAACAACACATCCCCAGGATGCTCTGACCCTGGGCAAACCCTTCCTTCCCAGTAGGAGGCACTTTTGGGGAGCCCCATTCCCGATATCCCGCTCACGGGCTCCAAACCCATTCCCACTCTGGGGAATGAGTAGTGCTTGCTGCACACAGAGGGGGAAAAAATGGGATGCAAAGTGCTCTGCAGACACACAAGAACCCAAAACCCAGCTCCATTTTATGCCAAAAAATTCAAACCCATGCCTGGACTATCCGGAGCTCCTGCTGCCCTCTGTGGCAGGGACCCGTCCTCGCCTCCAGCTCCAAATCCAGCAAAACAAAGCCAAACCAAGTTCCTGATTTTTTTTAATCCTGGGGCGGGCAGAGGGAGATTTGTCTTCCCTCAGCAGCGCCGCTCTCCAGTTTTCCAGCTGGGAAAGCTCCTCAGCCACGCCACAGCCTCCATCAACTTCCCTGCCCCGGCCGCAGTCGGGGAAAGCTTTTTGGGAAAAATATCCTAAGCCCACTTTTCAGTCAAGGGGGAGGGAAAAAAGCAGCATAAAACTCAATTAAGGAGCAGGCAGATATTTTAACCAGCGCCATGGTTTGTATACTCCATCTGGAGTCCAAAGGCTGCCGGGTTTTTTTTTTAGCAGGAGGGAACTGACATCATCTTAATTTCAAATTCCCATTTATTTTTACATCTGGTCTGAATTAATCTTTCTCAGCGTCCTGACTTTCATGTAATGGAATAATTGCTTACAGACTCTGGGTTTAAAGAGCCTGAATAAACCCAGTTTAAAAGAAAGAAACCCATTTAAAAACCGATAGTAAAAAAATCCAGTACCTAGAACCAAACTCCAATATGCCTTCGGGATTGGGAATTTTAAACGGAACATCTCTTTCAGGCAAGAGAGCTCGAATTAATCCCAGCTCTATCCAAGATTCGGAGAGGGAGAGCGAGCCCTGTGGAAAAACACCAACACAAACCAGCCCAGAATTAGGCAGAGCAGCAAAGCTCCATCGGTGCCACCTCTGGAAAAGCAGAGTTTGGCTTAGAGGGAAAAACATCCTGATGGCCAGAAAGGCACTGGCCACGAGCAGGAAGAGGAGGATTCAGGAATGGGAGATGGCAGAAAGGTGGCAGGGGCACGGCAGGGTCGGGATGTGCCAGTCAAAGGACACGGGAACACCAAGGATGGTGCTGGGAAAGCTCAGCCCCATGTCCCCACTGCCACGAGGGCACCGGGGGCACCCAAGGGTGAGGGGAACCTGGGGACAACAGGGTCCCACAGGTGGCTGTGACCCAGGATCCACAGATGACGGGATCACAGCTGTGGGAACCAAGAGATGGTGGGAACCAGGGCTGAGGGGACCTGTGGGTCACCACGAGGCACAGAAAAGAGCTGGCACAGGCACAGAGGACCCACGGGTGGGGTTTGTGACCCAGGGGTGAGGGGACAGCTGGGTGAGTGTGGCCCAGGGACAAGGGGGGCTGTGGGTGAGACCCAGGGTGAGAGGGGACCCACGGGCAGTGTGACCCAGGGACAAAGGGACCCACGGGCAAGTGAGACCCAGGGTGAGAGGGGACCCACGGGCAAGTGTGACCCAGGGACAAAGGGACCCACGGGCAAGTGTGACCCAGAGACAAAGGGACCCACGGGGCACCCATGAACCAGGAATGAGGGGACCCACGGGTGAGGGGACCTGGGGGTGAGTGTCAAGGGGTGTCATGGGTGAAGTGACCCACGGGTGAGTGTGACCCAGGGACAAGGGGACCAACGGGCAACCGTGACCCAGGAATGAGGGGACGCGTGGGTGACGGTGACCCACAGGTGAGAGGAGCTGCGGGTGAGCGCGAGCTGAAAGCAACGCGTCCCACGGGTGAGGGGACCCACGGAAAAAGGTCCCAAGGGTGAGTGAGACCTGTGGGTGAGGAGACAACGTGGCCCACGGGTGAGCGAGACCCGTGGGCGATGTGACCAGGGGCAAGGAGATCCGCGGGCAGCTCAGATGTGGGCAGGTCAGATGTGGGTCCCGTGGGCGAGCGCGCCCCCGGAGCGGGTCCGGGGTGGCCGTGGCCGTGTCGCGGCAGTGTCGCGGCAGTGTCGCGGCCGTGGGGGCCGTGGGGGGGTTCCGGTGGAGCCGCAGCTCCCGCGGGCGGGCGGGCGGAGGAAATGATTCGCATTCCTGCAGCCGGGGCCGCTCGCCCCGCTCCGGCTCCAAGTCGCCCCCGGAGCGCAACAAGCGGCCGCGCCGGGCCCACCCGCGGCACGGCCCCGCGTGGGCGAGCCGAGCCGGGCCGGGCTGAGCTAAAGCGAGCGGAACGGAGCGGAACCGGGCTGAGCCCAGCGGGGCACGCACCTACCTGCGGCTGCGGGAGCGCGCTGCGTGCCAGCCGTGCCAAGCCGAGCCGAGCCGAGCCGAGCCGTGCCCAACCGAACCCCGCCGTGCCGAGCCGAGCCGTGCCCAGCCCAGCCCGGCCCAGCCCATCCCGCCGCCCCCGCCCCTTCCCGGGCCGCCCCGCACCGCCCCGAGCGGCACCGGCGCCGCCTCCCGCCCCGGGAAAGGGTCGGCAGAGGGGTGGCCCCGGGTGGGACAGACCAGTGTTGGCCCCAGAGGAGGTGTGGGGAGCCCAGGAAAGGCTCCCTGAGCATCGTGTCCCCCCCGGGAGGGCACACGGGCACCGTCCCCGCGGGATGGAGGTGCCCATCGGAGCGGAGCATCCTTCGGAGGGACCGCGGCCGGACAGGCTGGGGATGCTCCGAGGGCTGGGAATCTCTGCTCTGGAGGGCTGGGAGAGCTGGGGTTTGGATTGGCATCAGAGCCCCTTCCAGTGGGGCTCCAAGAGAGCTGGAGGGGGACTTTAAATACGGGGGAATGGCTTCCCACTGTCACAGGGCAGGGTTAGATGGGATATTGGGAAGAAATCTTTCACTGTGAGGGTGGGAGGCCCTGGCACAGGTGCCCAGAGCAGCTGTGGCTGCCCTTGGATCCCTGGCAGTGCCCAAGGCCAGGCTGGACAGGGCTTGGATCACCCTGGGACAGTGGAAGATGTCCCTGCCATGGCAGCAGTTGGAACGAGATGTTTTTCAAGGTCTCTTCTAATCCAAACAACCCTGGGATTCTATGATCTCCCAGAGAAGGGACTTAAATGTCCTCTGGGAGGGTCTCAACTCTTGTGTAGGGGAACCCCACACCCATCCCAGTATCCCCAGCCCTTGGACATCAGAGAATCCCAGTTCTCAGGATTCAGGTTGAGGCGGGAGCAGAATTAAACCCCATTCCCATTAAATCCCCCACTAGCAGCTGGATGAAGGTGAGCAGGGCTCACTCGTGTGAGGCCTGGCCACCCTTTGGAGCTGATGCACACACGGATCCCTCTCCATAGGTGACCCCAGGCCCGGAATAGCAGCAGCAGCAGCACCATAAATTAGCAGCAAAGCATCTCCTCCTTCAGAAGTGCCATCTGGCGAGGTTGTTTTTGGAGGAGTTATTTATTCCTCACTTTTAACTGTCTAAAGGCGTTTCTTGGGCTGACCTGCGAGGCCGCCTCGGCCCCCGCAGTCTCTCCGAGCCTCTGGGAATGAGGAGCCGCTTGTTCCCAGCCCTAAATAAAGAGCAGCTCTGCTGTGAGCACCCTGACACTCCTTGCTGAAATCTGTTTGCAGCTCAACAGATCCTGCTGGGTAATTCCATGATGGGAGTGCACGGTACCGGCGCTGGGAATCCAACACGCCGCTCTCCTCGTGGGAAAAAACAACCTGGCTTTCTGCAGAGCTGGGGCTGGATATCCCTCGGGTTTGGGCTCACTCTCATCCCCCTGTCCATGCCAGATGGAATTGGGAGAGGAATTCTACCCCACAGCTCCTGCTCGAGTCCTTACAAAGCCACTGGTGCCACTGCCAATGGCACGGAGAGCATCCTGTCCAAGCAGAGCCTGTCATTCCAGTCAGAAATGCTTTTTCCCCAAAAAAACTCCCTCTGGAAACACCCACCCTGCAGTGAACACAGGGGGACAGCCAAGCAAATCCGCCCTTCGGCTGATTTCTCCAAACCCACAAATAATTTTGGGGCTGTGGGGCGGCCCAAGCAGGACCCGGCCCCATTGCTGCGGTGCTGAGGAGGACGAGTGGGTCCTGCTGAGCACATCCCAACCCCATCCCGAGGCCTGTGGAGCACGGGGATGCAGGAACCCAGCGCCTGCCTTGCCGCAGAGGCTAAATAAAGCAGCAGGAAGAGCTCTGGGATGCCAGCGAGGCGATGTATAAACACCGACGTGGATGGCGCGGCTGCGACGCCCTTCCAGAGCCGGGGGGGAAAAAAAATCTCATCTCGTTCCAACGGGAGATGCTCCCAGGGATGGGGGAGACGCTCCAGGAAAAGCCATCCCAGGCTGCAACGTGGGGAGAGCTCGGAAAGATGGAGCTCAGCCAGGGTCCGCTCTGCCTCGCCTCTCTGAGACAGGAAAAACCCAAAGAGTCCCAAAAGTGACATTTCTCTCACAATCCTGGAATTAATCTCCCTCAAAGATCCCAAGGAGTAGAACCACAGATGGGAAATTGAAAAAAAATTGAATTATTTTTGGGGTGGGTTTGTTTGTTTTTTGTTTTTTTGTTTTTGTTTTTGTTTTGTTTTGTTTTGTTTTGTTTTGCATCTCTAGGCCTAGCTCAAAATAATAATAATTAAAAAAACAAAAAGAAAAAGGTGGTGTGGTTCTGACTGAAAATATCATTCCCATAAAATACACGGATTTCTCCCGCGCTGGGTGTGTTTAGATGGAAAGGACAGGAAGCAGCAGCAGCTCGCTGGGATCCTGCATATCACCAGGCGAGTGTTTCCCATCCCAGAATTTCAATGCTGCCATTGTCACTGGCAGGGACGGCCACGGAGACGTGGGAGCTCTCTTATCTCATAGCAGCCCTCGGATTTTGTTCACAGCACAAAAATTATTCCAAAAGCAACAAAATAACAGCTAAACACATCCCTCTCTGCATCCCATTCCCTTCCCAAGGGCTGATGGATCAGTGGTGCCAACTTTCAGTGCCCAGCACCCATTTCTAGGCATTTTTAGGATGTCCTGCTAGGAAAATTCACCCTGGAGCAGCAGCACAGGGACCTCAGTGCTCACCACAAGCCTTGTGGGGTGCATTTGGGGACAGGGGTGTCACCGCTGCTCGATGACACCTGGCACAGCATCACAACGATCCTGATGGGCCCCTTCCAACTCAGCGTATTGCAGCTCTGGCTGCAGCTGGGATTTAGAAATTCCTCCCTGGACAAGAGAGGAAAACAAATCCCAGCTACAGTGAGCGGGCTGTGCTGGGGCTGGGAAGGTTTCTCAGCCCATAAGGGGAAGAAATTAAATAAAGAATCCCCAGCACGGAGCCACAACAGCCGGAGCGTTGCTATAAACTCCAGAGAGGAGCTGGACCTCGCTCCCATTCCTGCATTTCACGGGGATTTCCAAGGAAGCTCTTCCTCCCTCCCTACCCAGGCTGGGGTGGGTGAGTCCCTGTCCCCCCCCAGCACGGGGTGGAGGGACCCTCTCCAACTTTTCCTGGGCTTTTTAGGAGAATTCCATCTGATTTTTGGCCATAAATACCCAATTCATAGAGATCTCACCAAGCCTCTGCTTCAATTTTGTTTGAATGTAGTAGAATTAATAAGCCTGAGCTGATTAGTTAATAATAAAATTAATAATAATAATCAATCATGAAAAGCCTGAACACACATTGGGACCCCTCCTCAGGGGTTTTGCCCACCTGGGGACAGCTCCAACTCCATCCATCCCAGCTGAATTTTGGGAAAACCGATGCCCAGCGTGCAGGAACCAGCCCTGGATGGTGCTGGGAAAAGGGGGAGCATCCCTGGGAGTGGCCTGGGGACACCCCAGCTCAGGAGCCAGGTGGAGAGTGGGATGGCTCCTTGAGCATTCTGGAATTTGGGCAAAGCCAAACCACCCCTGGCTCCCTGGGAATTCAGGGGATGCTCCCAGAGGAGCTGTTTCCATCCGATTTTAGCTGAGGGAGGATGCTGCTACATTTAACTGGCCCCCAAAAATCCCCCTCTGTATTTACCATGCCTGGGAAGCCAGCAAGGACAAAAATAAAAAGGAGCTGCCTGAGATTTAAACCCAACGGGGCTGGAAAAGGAGAAAATCCAGCCTGAATCCCCAAGTGTTGGAACTATCACGAAAATCCAAGCGTGCATCCAGCAGGGAAGTGCTGATCCAGGGCACTCTGCTCATCCAGCTGGGGTTTATCCCCAAAATATTGAAAAATTCAGGCTGAGGTGGGCAGGGATTTTCTATGGTCTTCCCACAGCTCCATTCCCAAATCCACTCTCATTTCTCTCTTTAAAAAGCCCATTTCACCCCCTCCCATCCTTTCTGTTTTGTGGGGGTCCCAAATGGTTTTTTCGTGGCTCTGGGCCTGAGGGTTATTCCTAGAGTTTGTTCCCAGCCTGCCAGAGCTGCTGCAATCCCATGGAATTGTGGTGTAAAGCAGGAAGGGGCGGCAGGGAGGGGCAGACAGGGAGGAAAGATCACAGGAGCGAGCAGGGGAATATTTTTAGCCCGTCTGTTCTCTGGCTTTAACAACACTCCATGATTCCAATCCCATCTGACAGAGGGGCAGATGCCTCAGGGCTGCTGAAACGGGAGAGAAACCCCAGCAAGGGCCCCCTCAGGGGGTCACCCACAGCCCTGACCTACAAGACATCAAAGAATGGGGAGGAAATTTGGGAATTTCTCTGCTGGAAAAAAAATTAAAAATTAAAAATGTTGGTGGTGAAAGACTATGAAGAGCCAGGGTATCCATTAGATCCAAAGGAGATGTGAGGGGCACATTTCCTCCCCTGGCACCTTGGAGATCCAGCTCCTTGCTCCGTGCTCACCTCTGTCCATGGATTTTCCATGGCAGCAGGGTTTGGCTGCAAGTTGGCAGGAGCCAAGGGGAAATCTGGGAATGAGGTCATGAAGCTGAAGGTTTTGCTCCAAACCTGATCCAGGGTGGATCAAGTGGATGTGGGATAAAGCTGGGGAAAATGAGCCAAGAAGGTCAGGTGGGTTTGCTCTGTGCAAAGTGCAGCAACGTCAGGGATGGATTGGGCACGAGGGGTCATGGACCAGCACCACGTTCACACTGGGAGAACTGGAGATCCTGCAATGCAAACCTAGTGGAACTCTCACAGCTTGAGCCAGTCAAATTAGGATTTCCCCGTAATTTAACCATTTAATTAATTAAAATATTTTAAAATAATTAACAAAAAATTTTAAGAATTCCCCATAATGCAATTTAATCCTCATAATTTAAAACCCAACTCCACCACAGAAGGACACAAAGGCTCCCATCCCATCCCGTCCTGTCCCAGGATATTCCAGCAGGGAAAAGCCAGCCAGGGCCACCCCGTCCCCTCCTCCATCCCTGGGGACACAGCAGCCCAGGGAGCCCCCGGAGCTTGGCCGTGGCCCCGTGTGTCCATCAGGCATCCATCAATGATTTACTGC